TTACGATAATTTTATCATAATTGGTAATTGTTTTTGTATAATACAATTTAATTGCAATTAATTTTTCGGTACCCCTGGTTACACTATTAATCAATTAAACTTAAAAACATTAATCAAATTTCTGTACTTTCAAACCTAACTATACAAGCTTCAAAATTCCTTTTATTTTTAAAACTACTCTTTATAACTTTTGTAAATCTTATAATTTTAAAATAACTTTTTATAAGGTTAAAATATACCAAGATAATGAACTTAACAACAAAGCTAACCAACTAGCTTGTAATTATTTAATACTTCATATCTTATATTTAATTTTAATAATATTTATAACTCTTTATATAGATGTTTTATAAAATAGGTAAGCAAACTCCACAAACTCTACAACTCTGCTAAGGATCTATTAATGATTACTAATTATTAACAAAGCTTATTTTTTATATTGCCTACCTATTTTATAAAATATTTAACTTTGCTTATAGCTTTTAGTTTTTTATTTTCAAAATATTTAACTTCTTTCAATACTAAATTCTAATTGACTACATATATTTAAAGAGATTAGTATAATATAAAAAATCTTAAATAAATATATATTTGCAAAATATAGAATGTATATTTGGCATTAATAATTTTTTATAGCTAAAACAAAAATATATATTTAGAAAGGTATTGCATTTATAAAGGTTGCATTTATAGAGGTCTGACTATATACTATATTTTTCAAAAATAAGCTACTACCAAAAATAAGCTACCCCACTTTTGTGCAAAAAATATAAAAATCTCTTTTATTCAAAATAAGCTACCTCAAATTTTTAAATTTTTTAAACAGTTGCTATATATAAAAGTCAAAAAAATGTACTAAGTAAATATATGTTTTGTACTTAATAAAAGTTGTTTATAATATAAAAATACACATATCCTAAAAATTTCATACAATTTGGATAACTTTTTATTAATACATTTTTGCATTTTAAGTTCAAGCTTTATATGCAAAAATGTACTAATAAAAGTTATCCAAATTGTATGAAATCTTCAGAATATGTATATTTTTATATTGTAGACAATACACTTAAAATTATAGATACAAATATTTGAAATGTTGCAGAGAAAACAAAAAACTGCTAGTAGATATTTATGGATGTATTATGAAGATTATATAGAAGAATATCTTATGATTAACAGACACCTTGTTCATCGTTTAGTGGCATTAGCATTTTGCTCCAACAAAGAATATGTGAATCATATTGATAATTATTCTATTGACAATAAAGCATCCAATCTTGAATAGTGCACACCAAAAGAAAATGTACAACATGCGTCTCGAGAATTTCCATCCTTAACTGAAACATGACATATAACTAGTATTGATGAGTCCAGTATTGGAAAGGTTTGTAGGACTGGGGGTGTCGTTGGGAATATGTGAGCACAATATTGCATAATGATCATGAAGACTCCATAAACCATCCGGACGTTATATCAAATTAATTTTTTCAGAGATAGGGAACTTTTTATTAACGTATATATATTCGTGATACTACACAAATCTGAGATATAAGTCATACTATGCTGATGTATCAGTGATTATTAATTTTCTTGAAGGTTAAGAAAACTTCCATCGCTATCACCTACAAACAGAAAAAAAGGTGATATGCATACAGGATATGGTCCTTAACAAAGCGAAACCCACCAGTTGTGAAAACATATAAACACCTCAAGTTGCTAAACTTTATTGCTCTCAAATTCAAAAAATCCAGATTGGAAAGCAAAACTTAGCCTATCGGATAACAACTATATCCAACATCATTAAAGAAGTACAAGAATTGACAATAAGGCTAGTGTGTTTTGGAGTGTTATACCCTCCGTTTTTATGTTTTGCGATTTATGTGCAATATTGATTACCGTATTTTCAGGCATGGGCGTTATTTAGAAGTTTGGCCCGAATTAAGATTAATTTAGGCCGAAATTTGTAATTTCACCCCTGCGCGTTATTTCGCGAAAATACGGTAGTTAGAATTTTTCGGTTATTTTTTTACTTTTACTTATAAATTTCACTATTCTCTCTACATATTCCATATGAGAATTGGTTAGTTTAATTATAGATAGAACACTATTTTTTTAGACTGTGATCTGAAATATCTAAAGCAAAATAAAGAATCCAATGTATCTAAAACATTGACTACAAGTGTTCTGTCTCTAAGTATGGTAGTAGTATATATAGAGGTCTGATTCGGTGAATGGTATGTTCGAATATTCAATGAATATTCGAATATCTAATTGTTTCACTGAATTGAATATTCGAATATAAAAATTTTTCACCAAATAATTCATTGGATATTCAATCGACCAACTAAATGCAAGATTGGATGTCATATGTCATGCTCAATCATATATTCTGATTGGTTAGCAATGCTAATAATCATTTAGTCATAACCCCTCAGAATCATTTATGTGCTAGAAGTTTTCTATTTATTTTAATATAGCTTTTAAGTATGTGCCCAATTATTCAACTTTATAATATTGTCTTAATTCGTTATTGTTCCGAATCAACAACTCTATTTCATGATAATCAATATTCAATGAATATTCGAATATTCATTTGAAATTTGCTGATGAATATTCGGATATTAAAAAGATTGAACAAATGAATATTCGAATACTTATTTTTTGGCCGGATCAGACCTCTCTACTTTAAGTACCCTCAATATATCATTCGGAGTTTTTTGTAGTTGCAAAAAATGGTTATACGGAACCAGCTCGATCAAGAGCTCGTGGTTCCCATACAAAATATTGCTAATTATTTTCCCCTCCTTAATACCAAATCCACAAAGTGTGGTACACGGGTCACTCGAGCATTGACCTCCACGTGGTGTGACCTGGATAACAAACTAACGAATGCTCTTTATTTACTTTATTTGCTGTATTAATAAAGTTGATGGCTTTATTTACATATATTTTTACATTTACATGTGTCTTTCAAATTTTATTTTAATGTATTAATAATGTTACATAATCAAGAATTTTTTAAAACCAATTATGAAACACATAACTCTTATCGTGATTTTGCCTATGCTAATAGACACACTTTTGAATGTATCAGCATCATCTTGTATGAAAAAAATGACAAATACATAATCCAAATCGATTTATTGGAGGAATTGAATTTTAAACTTCTGGCTGATAATAATGAATCTATAAATTCTAAAATCAAGGCTGAAAATGCAAAATTAAAACCAAGTTTAGAAGAACTTGAAGTCTGATTCACGAATCTAAAGCAGAAAAATAAAGTATAAATCACCTTATTACTAGACTCAAGCAGGCGATAAAAAAAAAATTAGGCCTTATTTCTAAACTAGAATAAGCGTGCGTACGTTCATACGTACAATATCCAATATCTAAATTAATACAACTATAAATCTTTATATATAATTTATTATACGCCAAATAGTCTCAATTAAGCTCATGAGATTTATTTGTTATAAAAGAAAAGAAAAATAAATCCGTTATTGGGATGCACCGCATCCCAATAACAGCGTATCTGGCTTTGAATTTAATGTGCTAACCTGGGCCCCGAAGGGGCTCAGGTTGTCAAGCACATTAAATTCAAAGTCAGATACTTTTTTTATTTGTCATCCAAAATGAGATCCTTCGGATCACGGTATTCTCATTTCGTCTGCCAAATAAAACTGTTATTGGATGCTATACATCCAATAACCATTATTTATCCTTCAGTCTGTATCAATCAATAATTTAGTTATTTTTTATTTACCGATCACAATAACATAAGAGCGTTATATGCAGATCGTCGTAGACAGAAGGATAATACCGTTACTAGGCGTGTAAGTGAACAATAACTGCATTATTCGTCAAAGATATGTTAGATGCTATTCGGCCGCTATCGCGGCCGCATCTAACAAATCTTAGACGAATAATTATCCGTCAAAAATTTCGACAAATAACTGCAGTTATTGTTCACTACACACCTAATAACTATATAATATACTTATTCCGTATTCTTCGATATTTGATCGACGAATGAATGGATTTTCTATAGTGTTCCAGAATATAATTGAAGTTCTGTATACCAAATATCGTGACAATGGATTATATGAGTGACGCCAAGGGAAAATGGGACATTGGTTTATAATTGATTATTTATTTAAATACTAAATGATAAACCATTCACTTGGCGTCACTCATATGGGATCTTCGCTAGGAAAATCACCCTTCGAGATTTTCCGATCGGCTAATTCAGAGAAACCTAGACCAGAATATCGTCACATGTAAATCATCTTATCCGGCAAACTCATATGATGATTTATTATTTTTTTCATGTGTTACGATGTAATTATGTTTATTCTAGTATTCAAATTAAAACCCAGCGAGCGACTCCCTACCAATCATGATCATAAATTGCCGGATAACATCATTATTGGGCAAATTGTCGAATACGGTAATTTGACAAGTGATTGGCTACACGTGCCGCAAAGCGTCGCGTGCTCATTTGTCAAATTACCGTTATTTGCCCAATAATGTATACTTATACTTCATTGATGATTAACATGTGAATAAGAATGGTCAAAGTTTTTCCGAATTAGCCCGATCGGAAAATCTCGAAGGGTGATTTCCTAGCAAAGATCCCATATAGTAAAATTGATCAACATACACCTACCCTTAAGTCAAATTTATTACAGTAGTTCCTTTCAATTTAGTTTTTCCTAGTGCAATGGCAACCACAGTTTCAGGAATAGCAGAATTATGCAAAGTACATGATGTGGATATTTTAGAAACGTAATAAAATTTTTGAAACGATCCATGATAACTTTTGATGCTGAAACTGTTGACAATAAATTGTTCATCAAGGTAAGGTACTATGTTTGTTTTATAATTATTTTACATGCATTTTATAATTACTTTTTTACTATCCAAGTTTAATAGCATGATTAAATCAGAAGTACATAAGAAAGTGGTGTGTTCGCTTGATCAACAACTTCCAACTTGGTGTAATCAGATTGATACAGTATATGTGGTTAATGGTAATCAGTATTTATCTGATGTACTTGCCTGCGGGAAATATTATTACTGCAATTCAATGGTGCAAGATGAAATGGAATAGACATCTTGTATTAGGATGTGGAGCGAACATAGATTTTAATGATATACTTGAAGTCTTAACGTAAATTTATCAAACTATTATACAGTACCGGACAGCAAAGAACATCCGATTTTTTTCAAATTTGATTGGCTAATTTCTATGTAATGAATTCTTATTTGTTAAAAATATATATAACCAATTTTTTTTTTTATATTAGCTTTTTAATTTTGTAAGAAAAATAAAATCTATTCTAACAGAATTGTAGCTTAAACTTAGGGTTGGATCGGTTCGATCCGGTCCGTCTCAGTCCTAATAAGACTGGTCCCCGGTCTCAAAATAAGCTATTTTGATTATCAATTTTTAGCTTGCAATTAGTGTTTGTAGTCGACCATTATTTATCGACTTGACTAAGTCGATATTTAAAAATCGGCTTAGCCGGCTAAGTCA